CTTGTGTAACAAGCATTTCCGGCCGCGGGATACTGTGCCTACCCATTCAAAAACAAAACATGGAGGAGAAAATATTGCAATGCTTCAAGTATCGTGATGCATCGTGATAGAATCGCATCGTGGCCTGTGAATCGTGATTCGAATCGAATCGTGACTTCTTTGGCAATACCCACCCCTAATATTAACCTTTCATTTCGTATTGATAATTAAAATTATTACTTATTTATTTATAACTATATTATTTTACAGTACAGTACAGTAGTTAACAATGTTTATACCGTACTTTTATTTGTTAAACAAATGCTTGGGCCTGTAAAAAGTTTTTGTTCCTTGATTTCAATGTTGTATGGAGTATTTCATTGTATAATAACTGTAAAAAAAGAAAGGTTTCTACTTCACGGATTTCACCTATCGCGGGTTCTTTTTGGAACATAACCCCCGCGATAAACAAGGGTTCACTGTATATTAAAAAGAAAACAAAAAAAACAGCTTCTGTGAAACAAAACTTTGAAAAGATGGAAAAGCAATGACGAGCTGCACTGACAGACTGTCACAAGGCAAGGCAAGCAGATTAGAGGATCATGCCTGTGATTCAAAGTGACAACACCATTCAATCCTCAAGACAGGGAGTCACAAACTCTGAGCAAACAGAGATGGGGAACCTATTCGGGTCACTGACACATGACGAGATGTCACTCATGTGCATGTATAAATTTTTTGCTGGTGTCTGTCCATGTATGCTATAGAGAAGGAGACTCTCTGCAGGAACAGAGAAACAATATTAAATGAAAAAGAAATAAGATAGGGATAAATACTGATAATAGAGCATGCTGAATGGAACTGACAGACAGAGGAAGCCAGAGGAAAGATGATGGAATAAAAGGATGGCGGAAATGCCAGGAAAGAGAAAGATGTTATCGGAGAGATTTATAGCTGCTTATCTCCTCATTATGAGAACAATTACAATCAATGCTCCATGACACATACTTCAGTAAACCTTGCAGTTTTTAAAATTATTCCCAAAAGAAATAATGATCGCTGCATTTTTTAATCAGAACATCACATGGAACTATAAGGTGCAATAAAAGTTAAGTTTAAAATCCCAACTGACTAACGGTTTACACAATTCTTGTCATAACATTTAAAGTATATTTTAATTTTATTAGAACATTTTCTTTACATATTTTAACGTAACCACTTATAATATATCCAGTTCTCGTTCATAAATGCCTGAGCTGCTTCTATTGTTATATAAACCTTCTGCTCAATTGAGCAATGGAAAAAAGCAGAGGTGAACCAAATTTAAGTGTAATCCAGCTGAGAAAAGCATGAACATTACAAAAGAGGTCTGATTAGGACCAGATAACGGGTGTTCCTTTAGGCCAGCATTTAAACTCCAGCTCTCATTATTTTCTCAGTGACTCTATACATCCTGGACTTGGTTTTCTTCACAGGTTTTGCAGCTAATTACAAATTGTGAATTTAAAATAATGTTTTCTTAGAAACATTTTTTACTGTTATTGCACTGTTATTTGCAGTTATATTAGCTTCTGAATAATTTCTTAGAAATCTTGTATCATGCAAAATCCACTTTTTTGAGCTTTTCACTGTTTTAATGTTATTCCTTTGCAGAATCATACCTAATGGGGTAAACAGGAAGCCATATACATACACATCAAACTTTTCTTGACAAACTGGGTAACCTCAAAAGTTCAGTATGAATTAATTAAATTATTAGGTTGTACTTATCTAATAGAGATTGTTGGGAATAAAAGACTGGCAGCCGTGATTCCTTTCTAAATGGAAGTTTTTGTCTCACATTGAATGCATATTTTCAAATTAAAGCCTTTATAATTTTATTTTCCTATTACAAATTGAATTAAAGGGTGAGAGGACGATCTTTTATTTCTGGTTGGATCATCTAAATAAATGGTCCTCCTAATTGTCAATCATTATGGTGATATATTTACGTAAGGCCGTCCTATGTGCTCGTCCCGTTAGCCATCTTTTTCTGCGCATGCGCACTTTCAGGCATACTGTATATCTGTGGTGAGCTATGGTTTCAGACAGTCATTGAAGCTCACCTTTCTCACCGAGGTTCTTTGAAAATGGCAGAGGGTCGTAAGAGAAAAAGTATCTAAAAAGTGTATGAAAATTAAAAAAAGGCCTCAGAAGAGGCGGATATATCCTGGAATGTTTTGCGTGGAGAGCTCTCTTCGCAAAGCATTATGGGAATTGCTGTCACAGTGGACAGCTGTCGCTACCCGACAGCGGCGACTAATAGCAAAGATGGTGCAGGCACCACACAGTGGAGCTGGAGTACGGCGACCAACAGGGAAGTGATCATCTTTTGAACGGTAAGTTTACTGAGTTTGCTATATAGTCCCTGCTCTATATAGTGATTGAGGGATTTAAGGGTTAGGGCGGATGTTCGTGCACAGTAAGCTTGAGCTATGAGAACACCAACTTTTAAACAGAGGGTGCAGGAGGAAAAAAGGGCTCGTGCATGCTTTCGCACGCGTCTGATAGACGTTCCCTATTGGGAGCGGGTACAGGATTGTGCATTTTTTATTTTTTGTGGAGGGGGCGAGTCTTTTTTAAAAAATCACAAAAATCCTCCACAATACCATTAACTGAGTATATTCATCTTTACAGTTATTTTGAGCTTGTTCACTCTCGTGCAAACTTAAAGACCATATGCATTTGGCTGGGCTTTCTTTACCAGATAATTGTTAACTGCTTTGTGATATAACCACGATATAAGCATCAAGTAGAAAAGGCCTTTAGAATAAAAATAGTTCTTATAATGCAGCACCTGCCAGCTGTTTGAATAACAAATCCACCAGCTCGTTTGTTCTGCCTTTCAGGAATCCTGACAGGAACATCTCTGTTCTGAATTATTTATTGACCTCTCAGGTGAAGACTCCATTTTAATCCCCTTACCTTCCCGCCGCCCGGCTGGTACTTGATGTTGTCGATGGATCCAATTTTGGAGCGCACATTCTTTAGGTCTGGCGTCGGAGCATTGATGGGTCGGGGGGTTCGGGGAGGGCGAGGAGCTGCGGGCTTCTTCTCCAGGGGGGTCTGCTTGGGCACAGGGGGTTTTGTAATGACACGGCGACGATGGGTGGATGCACCTTCACCATTGGTGGAGGCAGACGGGGTAGCAGGAGTGGCTGTGGATGTTGGGCGAGGACGTGCTGTAGAGAAAATAAATCACAATTACAATAAGTTGTAACAATTTAACTGTAAAACAGGAAATGTAATTTTAGAGGGTTATGAATAAATGAAAAAAAAGTATTTATGTTTTATATAAACTTTACTGTATAACAAAGAGGAAAATAAGATGGTAATGCTTTTATCATTATTTTTATATGAATAAATCTTATATACGTAGACCTTAATAATGTTACTGTTCTTACCTGTAGTTTTGGGTTTCTTGGTCTCCCCTGTCTTATTCTCAGTCTTCTCATTTTTGTTGGCTGAGGAGAAAAGAAAAGATGCAAGTTTGACACAATATGTCCCTGGATGATTCACAGCATCCTTTCTTAGAGAGGTGAGACACTGTTTGTGATGTGCAGATAAAAATACTAGTGTGGTGTCTATGAAAGCTAACAGTTGAATGTAAAGTGCAACATATGATAACAATTCAGTGAGCCTTTGCCTTAGAGGTGCCAGTGTGACTCATTGGCCCAGTTTCATAGAGACTCTTAGAGACAACCTTTTTCTTAATAAAACAATAATGCACAAGTGGGTAATCTGTGTATACCGGCAGTTTTATTAGCCGTCCCTGCAGAGGTGCCATTCTTGTTGGGAGCCTGACGAGGAGGGGCTGTGGTTTTTGGAACAGGTGAGCGTTTCTCTGCCCCATTTTCTGGAGTCTGAAATTCAGAGCAGAGGAGAGATAACTTAGCTGTGAGTCAGCAAACAAATTACCCAGAACCACCACAAGGATAATGTGAGCATAAACTTTTTTTAAAACAGAGGCAACGTAAACAAATCAGTTAGCCACACTTATGTTGTTTGTAATATTGACACTAATTGTGTTTGGTTTAATGTAAGTGGGCATGGTTGACTTTTGTAACCTGTAAACATTTTTAGCATTTTTTAGAATGAGAGTATCAAAAAAACATGGCTGTGGCAAAAGCCAACACAGATGTGGCAGAAGTATTTGACGTCATTTTTGTTAAATCTGAAAAATGTCTGTGTATCAGATGTTTATCACACAATTCAACCTGCAGACTCACTGCCTGCAACTGCCTAAAAACAGACACCATGCAGACTTGGAAGTCCACCAAGTCATCAGTTCATATGGTTGCATTTAAAGCCAACATGAAGACATTTGGTCAAGTTAAATGATGGGAGAGGCAAACATTTTCAGCAAAGGGAACAAACAGAGACAGCTATATGTTTTAGCAGTGGCCTTCAAGATGCAATAATTCCTAATTTTATATAGAGCAAACTGGGAAATAGTGATGTGAAGAGCTACAGGTAGCTTTTTAGTTTGAATATGGTGTGACATCACACACCATCTCTCTATGTGGTTGGTGATACTCAGAGCTTAGCTCCTCCCTACCCAGAGGGTGCACCATACCGTAATATGGGGCAAAATGACAGAGAGCACCAAAAATGCTCTTGCTAACAGTATCATAAAGATATGGTTTACTTAGTTCTTCATTAAACATATCCCACCAAAAGGTAATGCCGTTTTACTGAGTTTTTATTTTTGCCCAGTCGTCACACATCTTGTTTTAGTCTACACAAAGTGCTCAACAACCTGGCAGTCACTTATCTCTTAGCTTCATGGTAAGAGACCAAATATATATATA